TTCCCTAAAATATCTGATAAGTTTCACCAAGGCATCTATATTGTCTCAACGGGTAAAGATCTGTATATCAGATATGACACCATTGCTTATTAAATATGAAACCGGAAATACGTATATCCATTATTACCTAGCACCCAAGGTTAAGGAGGATTAATTTTATATTATATCTGTGTATTTACGAATACAATGATTCAGAAGACAAGCAATAACTACCAATCCTAGTAAGCCCAAACTGTTCATTGCCTGAAGCATTATCTAGAAAAAAGAAAAATGGTGGTAGTCAAACATGTTTACAAATGGAAAAACAAGAACCACCATGAGATCGGAAGAAAGAAAAACCATAATTCAGAAGAAAGAAAATGCCAAACAATTACTACCAACCTTAGTAGAGCCAGCCATTAACTAAAAAGAAAGAAGAATAGTTGTGGTAGTCAAACATGTTCACAAATGAAGAAATAAAACTACCACAAGCCAGAAAGAAAGAAAGCAATGATTCAGAAGACAAACAATAATCACCAATCCTAGTAAGCCCAAACTGTTCATTGCCTGAAGCATTACCTGGAAAAAAGAAGAGTGGTGGTAGTCAAACATGTTCACAAATGAAGAAACAAGGACTACCACAAGATCAGAAGAAAAGAAAGCAATACTTCAGAAGACAAGTAGTAACTACCAATCAAAGTATGACTGAATGTTGCCTGAAGTATAATCTAGAATGAAGTGGTAGTCAAATGCATTTACAAATTGAGAAGTAAGAACAAGAGTAATAGTATTCATCAAGGACCAGAAGAAAAAAACTCTAATTCATAAAAGTGACAACCAATTCTAACTGTAATTCTGAAAGAAAAAAGAAAAATAAATACTGTATATCTACATATATGTATTGACAATAAAAAATAATAAATAAATAAAACAAATAAATAAAATAAATAAATAAATAATAAAATTAAAACCGAAATAAAAAAAAGTTAAAAAAAAAAGAACAGTAAAAAAATTTAAAAACAAAAGATCGAAAAATAAAAAGTTAAAAAAATTTAAAAAAAAATTTAAAAAAGAACAAAAAATAAAAAAAGTTAAATGAAAAAAAAATTAAAAAATGAAAAGATCTAAACAAAGATCTAATCTTGTAATACAGCATCATGAAGGTCTATATATTTATATATAATTGTAATGTTACTTAACAATTTATATAAAAGTAGGTTGCTTTTTGTGTAGTATAGTCAGTATTTAAAATTGCCTTGCACAAGATACACATGTGCAGGTAGTTTTGTTTTTTGCAAGAGAAGGTCTAAATGTATATACATAAGTGTGCAATTAAATTTAAATAAGGAGCTTGCGCAAAAAATGATATGCAAGAGAAATTATAAAATTTTATTGTACAAACATTTAGTCTAAATATAAAATATGAAACAGATAATGATAATCTGAAAAGTTTCTAAAGGGAATCAGATGATAGTGAAATTTAGAGGTCTTGATTTGAAAATATAAGCCCTACAAAATTTACCTATACTGTTTTACTAATAATTATAACCCTAAATCCTAACTTAACTATAAACAATCATCCGATTTCACGATCATCCGTGACAATAAATATATGCATATAAAAATAAAATTTATATGCACATGTGTGCAACTAATAGTTGATTTGTACAATTAAAACTTATGACACAACTGCATTTGTGCAAGTAGGTTTTGATCTGAATTTTAAATACTGAGTACAGTATTACTGAAGGTTCGTAGAATGAATAAAATATTTGAGAAAAATTATGTAAAGTAATTTTGTAGAAAAAAGTTCATGATGAATATGTAATAAAGATTCTGCAAATCATACAATCGAAGATACGTATAAAATTACTAATGCCTAACCATAAACAATTAAGTATTTTTGAAATATTTCGAATTATTTCACAATATATTTCAAAATATTTCGAAATTTCTTATATAAAATTTTAAAATTATTATATTTCACTATTTTTCGAAATTTATTTCAAAATATTATGGCCTTTTTATATTTCAAAATTATTATGAAATATTATAGTCTTATAAGTTTGCTAATGCTTGTTCTTTTTTTTGTTATTTTTTTTTTCATTTTTTTCTTTTTCCTTTTCATTTTGCTTTTTTCTGTTTCTTTTTTTTTTGCTTTTTCCATTTTTCTTTTGCTTCTTTTTTCTCTCTATTCTTATTTTCCTTTGTTTTTTTTTTAAACGTTTATTAAGAGCTTCTTTTTTTCATGTAATTCGATCAATTTGTGTTGCCAGTACCATCATTATTGAAGCTATTGGATTTGTTGAAGTCATCATCATAGTTGGCGTCATCGTTGGTGTTGTCATCTTCCATGTGAAGTTTTTTTGAACTTGGCTGTAGATTTGTTGTTAGATTTTTATCTTTATTTAAGTGGGTG